GGGGGGGGGGGGGGCGTGGAGGAGAGTCAGCCCAACTGGGCTGGAAGACAGTCATACACCAGCTGTGTTCTCCTGTAGTAATAAGCCTGGAAGGCAGGACAAGAGGCCCTCACCTCATTGCTTACCTCAACAGGTTCCCTTGAGCAGGCCTCCCTGTAAGATCCTCCTCCCATCTCCACCCCCGCCATTCCCCAAACACAGCCTGGTTGCAGGTTTCCTCACCTTTAATAGCATCTCTAAGGCCTGCAAAATCAGCAGGGTCCAGGATGGGTCTGGCGCCCGGCAGGTTGACCATCTCCCGCAACTCCTGGAAATCCCAAACAGGAAGATGTTATACCTCCCTGTTCTGGGTGTGTCCGTGAGAGACAAGAGCACAGATCCCAGAAGAGAAGCTGCCTGCTTCACAAGGAAGTCTTCCTGAGCAAGCAACTCCTATTCTACAGGAAAGTTTGGGGTCAGCATGTGGGCACAGTAACCTGGGTTCACATGCCAGCCAAGAGACTCTCAGCTAAAGCAAGCAGATTCAAGAACATGCACTAAATTCAGACCCAACAAGAGGCTTAGAGTAAGAATTACAGCAAATACTATTACCATAGGGCACCTCCAGCTCAAGCAAGAGAGTCTTACCTTGATGGTAAATGCCGCCTGGAGAGGGCCCCTCCTCCCGACAAGCCACACGCGTTTCACCTTGCTGGAGACTATGGCTGCCAAGGAGCCTTCAGTGATGTCAGTCTTCTGTCAGACAAACAAAAGCAGCAGGGGAAGGAGGGAATTGGGTCCACAAATGCAGGCATGAGCCAGAGAGGGAAACAGCCTAACAGTCGCCTCCCTTAGTCTGAAGCTGTTTTCACAGCTACTGCCAGAACACAGCACATATATTTTCCATGATCCTGTATTCCATCACAACTCAGCACAAACAAGGCAAAACTCTACCAGGCAGTCTCAAAGAGAAGCCCACAAGTGCTCCCCCTTCTTTAAAAGCCCTTTAAAAAAGTGGTGCTAAAGAAAGTCTGTTCTAGCTTGGAGCCAATGGAGCAGGCAGGGAAAAAGAAATCTTGCTTTTCTGGCGCACACAGCTTCAAGAGAGCACTCAAGAGTTGGCTGGCGACTTCTTCCCTCCAATTCTTTAAAATGGGGACGACCTTCCTACTGACACAGATAACCAAGGGATCTGTCCTGGCATCTTTTTTTTTTTAATTTAAAAGGAAAAGAGTGGTATGGCAGAGAGAATAAAACCTAAAGATATTTCACTATGCAATGGGGAGGACGTTCAAAAGGAAAGATTGCTGGCAGATCCCAAGCGGGCAGTGCTTTCACCAGGTGTGATCTGCCACTTTGATGTCAAAAGATAAAGATCCCACAATCAGAACTCATTGACAAGGTTACTGGATAAAATCTAGGCCCTCCCCTATTTGGATCAGCTCTGCAGAAATGGAGAAGGGTAAAAGACACTAGACAGGGAGCGTGTATTCAATCCCAGTCCTCTTCTGGAACATTACGGTGCCACTGCCACATTCTGTCCATTCTAGGTACTGCAGATGGTCCCAAAGAGGCAGCATTTGAAACCATGGGCTCACTTCCCAATTCGTTTAACTCTTTAAAGGCCTCTGAAATGGCCAACATCCCAAACCTTTTCTTTCCTTTAATTTAGCTGTTAATGTGGGAGGTGCTAGCTGTGCTTTAACAAGCTTCCCATCTGTTCCTGAGGGAGAGGAAAGTCTGGGATGCTCTCCCTGCTCACATCTGGGACAGCAGCCGTGTAGAACAGCTGTTGCCAACAAGCTCACAGCTGTCACACTAGGAACCTAGTAGAGAAAGAATCCCACAAATCTAGTCTACTGACAGGCAGGCTAGCTGGCTGGCGCATTAAGTGCAGCAGGGAGCTATAGCAGAAGGCGTACTGGGGTGGGACAAGGCACAGAGAGACTAGACCAGACCTCTGCAAAGAGAACTTGTTCAGGTCTTGATCTGTCAGCAGTTCTAGCAGGGGGCAGGCCAGGGCTCTGTCTCTGCTGGGAGGCAGAAAGGACACGTGTGTCACTATTTAATGGCTTTTATTAAAGGCCTGACAAAGTTTGGGGTGAAAGGGCTCAGTGTGAATCCCCACACTAGCAAGGGCCAGGAGCACTACAGGACAGACCAGCCAGTTGTGGGAGATACCACCCCTGTGTAGGCATTCTCTAGCTCTCAGGTATGATAGATACCCAACTCATGGTATGATAAATCATACTGGAGCATGGCACTTCCCTCCCTTTTATTTTAGTACCAAATCCACCAGGCAAGCAGCAAATCCAGGTCCAAGTGTTGACCTGGCTTAATCAGGCCAGCAGTTTTCCTGCAGAGTTAAGCAGGCTACAAGGGAGGAAAGCTCTCAGTTGAAAACAGAAAGTCTCAACTAGACAGGAGTCCAGGAGTGCAGCTACTGGGGCACGTGGCTGCTTATGGTACTTGGTCTGCATTCTCCTGTTAGAGGAGATCCTAATATCTTGCATGAAAGGGTTCTTGACCTATCATACCAATCAAGCCTGGCCTATTTTACAACATGGAGCATTCTCCATACACTCACCCGGAGTAAATCGAGTGGAGTCAGTAGAATCCGAGCTACATCCAGTGCCACATTTCCCTGCCCCAGGACCAGCACCGTCTTGCTGCTCAGGTCAGGCTTCAACTGTACCAAGAGAAAGCAGATTCAACAGTCTACCCTGCTACTTTCACAGCAACACAGGACTAGAAGGAGACTTCCAGGTCAGCATCCACTCCCCTACACTCAAAAGTAACCACTTCAAACTCTCACATAACCTCAAAGCACAAAACCAGAAACACCCACAGGTTAAAGAACGGGACACAAGGGCAGAGCTAAAGTGCTGTCAACTATCATGGCTAGGCGTGCACCGACAGAGGTTTTTGGGACGATACCGACAGCCAATTTTTAAGGTGACATATTGGCCAATAACGATCCGATTCCCCATACGCAGCTCTTCAGCTTGAAGAGCTGCATCCAGATAGTAAGTCTGGTGTGGTGGAAGGGGAGGGAAGTTGGGGGGGCGGGAGGAGGAGGCAGATCAAGGCCCCTGTGGTGAGGGAGGGAATGGGGCTACAGCTGACCAGTCAGGGCAGGGAAAGGCATGGGACAGACCCACAGGCAGCTTGTCCAGGAGGTGCAAGGCGTGTGCCCCCCGGATCTGCACAGCATGTGGCAGGCTGGGACAGGCACAGGACAGAGGCACTGCTTGCCAGAGGGGAGCAGAAAGGCAGGGGAGAGGGGCAGATCCCACCAGTGCACACAGCTCATCCTTTGCTTATCTGGCAGCTCCCACCGCACGCGTCAGAGAAGGCACGGTGGGGCGTGTGCCCCCGGATCTGCCCAGCCAGAAGAGTCCGGCCCCAGCCCACCCTGCCCAGATGTGGGGGAACACACCATGGCTCCCCAGCCCCACATCCTCCTAAATGAGCAGCAAGAGCAGCAGCAGCAGGAGCCACCAAACTAGCACCAGATGAGCCACGTACAGCAGCCAGAGCTGCCCCCCTACCTCCCTTCTCATGTCCTGTGCCCACCTCAGCCCCAGCCCCAACCCCAATCCCACTTCCTCCCCGCCGCAGGGGCCTTCATCTCCCCCATCCCCTTCCACCACACCAGACTTACCAGCTGCATGCAGCACTTCATGCTGCTGGCTCTGCTCCTCACTGCCTACATGCTATGCTGCGGCTGCACACACGCACAGCCATTTATCAGCCACATCGGCCCAATATCCAATACAGAAATTTCTCTTTATTTCAGTGCCAATTCAATATTGAACCGATGTATTGGTGAACCCCTAATTATGGCTGAGAAATAATTAGTTAACATGCTCAGAGGCTGCTAAGAAGAGGACCACGTCCCATGCTACAGAAGATGGCAAAACTCCTTGCAGTCTTCAGTCTCACCTAGGGGGAAAGATTCCTTCCTGACCCCAAACTTGGCAGCTGGGATGACCCCAAGTGCAAGGGCAGGACCCTCTAGTCAGAAATAGGGTTTTCACTTCTCCGATAGCTGGCTCTTTCCATCCCCTCTGCAGTACCAATACAGAACCCTCCTACTTCACTCTAGCTGTCAGGCAAGGCCAGCTAGCACAGATCCAAGTCTCCTCCTTCAGCCTGGAGTCCTAGCACATATTTGGAAGCACAGCACCTACGTGATAGGATCAGGGAGCAGTCGCACAGCACATTTACATGGGGCAACCTGCATTGGTTTCGTTCACAGATGCAAGTTATACCAGGATGTTGAGCAGGTAAATGACTGATGGGCTTCTCTGGGAGTAGCAGACTACAGGCTGCTGTTCTAGCCCCTTGCCAGCTGGTGGCACAGAAAAAGCAAATAATAGTTTGAGCAGAGGGCTATTACAAGACAGGCAGTTAAAACTAAGCAGAGGTAAGACAGGACCAAGACCAGCATGACTTGCCTTGACATATAATTACTACTGACTCTTTGCAGCAGTTTTGTCCTGGATTAGGGTTATTTATGTGGGTAGGACAGATCATACTGGAGTGTGTCCTGTGTCCTTGCTCTCAATTATTTCTCCAATTCCCACCTCTTTCAGAGCACCACTGCAAGTCCCTAAAGGTTTCCTCACA